GGCTCGGTGTCTCCGACTGTCCAGAGAAACCCAGGGGCTCCAGGGTATGTCGCAGGTTGCAAGGACTCGGCTTTCGTTGCTTTGACTTTGTGGTAGGAAACGATCCTCATCGTCACTGCCGAATTTTGGTCCAGAAGACTTGTAGAAAGGCGCAGGCGATCCAGTTGAGGCGGGACTTCATAAACAGTCGCACTGAACCCGTACCACAACATGCGTTAGTAGCTAGATCAACTGTGACTTCGTCGGGGTTTAAGTGAGCCACCCGCGAAGACAGACGCCTCCATGAAGAGGCTTCGCAGCGTCCGTTGGACCAACAACGAAGTCTTTGATTATGTAACCACGCATTTGGATCCCTGGGCCTACACGCGTGTGACTGTGAGCATCGTCCGGCGAGGCATTCTGTTTGTTAGACTTTATGTGTAATCTCAAGTATTTTCGATCGACGAGACCACGACATCAACCTACGAGCATCAAAAAGTGCCTTGGCTGCTTACTACAATCTCCAAAGTTCATCGCTGCAGCAAGCCGACCTCGGCAACAAGATTCTGCTGGTTCCCGAACTTCCTGCGTTGGCGTCGCACAACCGCCGTCTCCTTGATAGAAGCACTGCCCGCTTGCGCCGACGCACGAGGAAAAGGGGGAGGAAGTGTGTTGGCTGACAGGGGCGCATGGGAATAAACTGAGCCAATGGATTCACCTGGATTCACCTGCCATCATTCTCCGCCACAGGTGCGGTCCACTCAACAGGTCAAGTTATGTGACACTGACAGACCGGCGGCGTCCAATACATTGAACTGCCATGCGGAACCACAAACAAGCCCCCAGGAACCGCAATGGTGAGAATGAGTCGACTCTTTCTGCTTGTCCTTTCTGACCTGGTACCGAGGCTTGGAAATGTCGGGTAGGTTAAGCCCCCGGCATGGGAAGGTTCTAACACGAGCTTCGAGGCTGCCGAGGGGCTCCGTAGTACAAGTCCTCTATTGGCTTGTTCCAACACATGGCAGCTAATTCTTCCAGAAACTTGCTGTGTGACCAATCGCCAGTACAAGTTTCCAAGTTTCTGTTAGCGGTCACCGAGGAGCAAGGACCGGAGGACTGTGAAATGTTTTCCCCCGAAAGGAATGCGTCCATGCCTCTGACACCAACTAAACCATATGAAAGGTGACCTCAGAAACGCCAAGAAGCAATCCTGTTGATGCAGATGAATATCACGTTGCACGCGACAACTACTCCATCTTGGGGGCTGATCGTAGTTTCCGAGCCGCAGCCCTGACTGTGCCTGTTGTTTGGTTGACACAATGGCGAAAAGTCTCGACGTTGCTCGAGGCTAGGACGCTGAACCTTCGTGGAGCATGAGTACTGATGCAGCGAGGAAGACTACCTTCAATTGGAAGCGGTGGTGGCTTTCAGCAGAGCCATGAATGCGAGAAAGGGAGCAACAACTCCAGAACAGTCTAGAGAGATGCAAAGATATAAAACCACACGGTCCCACGCGTCTTGAAGGTATGAAGGTTCGAGAACACATCAACATCAGACATCATAGACATTAGCTCTGAAAGGCCTTATCTTTCAGTCTCTTTCATATGCCCATCTCTTCTCAGAAGCCCCAACACTACCAGTCTTCCTCGGGTGCCAAGATGGCCAAGACAAGTTCAGCCAACGTCAAGATGACGAAGTCAAGCAGTGCGTCCCGTCGATGTTATAATCAACTATCTTTCTTGCATTCATGCTGACTTCGCCAGGCTCATCGACCGCGCCAGGCTCATCGACCGCAAAGGCCTCGTCGTCTAGCAAAAGACTGTCGGTGGACCGCCCCTGGCAGTCGGAACAAGACCCGGGACACAGTTACCAGACATCCACCCGAGACAGCGGTACGTCCGAACCTTTTACCCGCTGGCTTGACGAGCCTACCGGGCTTGGTCCGTACAATAATATCGCGGAGGTGGCCGAGGGTTGTGGCGCGTATACTACGTCGTCTGGAGGGCACCAATCTAGCGGAGTGGCAGCCACGTGCAAGACGAAGCATGGCCAGTCCAAGGAACACAAGAAGAAGCACCATGGAAAGTGAAGCAAGGAATGGAGCAGCCAGTAGCTAGACCGTGTCATTTTCTTTCGTATCTCTTCAGTCATGTCTTAACTCCAGAGGGTAGTCAAAACACATTTCTATTTCCCCCCTAGGCTTGAATTTGAACATGAGCAGGAACCAGAGACCAGAACAGCAATCTGATCGGGTTGAAAAAAATATGGCGGAAGATGGTTATTCTTATAGTCAGACAAACAAACATCTAAAAAGGTTGGGGCGTCACCGGGGATTGAACCCGGGACCTCTTGCAATTTTGAGATATCCCAAAGCAAGAATCATACCTCTAGACCATGACGCCAATCAGCTGATGATCTGCGGGGAATTATGGGAACCTATTACGATCAGGAACAGCTCCGACCCGTTCGCGTTGGTCAGGGCTTGTTGCTTCGTCCCAGCCACGGCAACTTGGCCACAAGCGGCCGACGCCGCCTTACTGGGCCTTCTCTTGTGATCGTGAGACAGGTCTTGGGCCCCGCTGGGATTGCATGCGTGACAAAGCCCAATTTTAGAGAGAGTGGGGTGTCATGCCATCAATCTCGTGCACGGCACTCCCCGTTGGTTTCTCGCGCGCCATTGAACTGAATGTTGTTTGAGCCTGAATGTTCGACCACGGCTACCGGGCCACATCCCATGTCGGTCGTATTCACCTACCCAAGCATTGCAGGGAGGCTTGCTGCCAAGGAGGAGCCACGATCGGACTCAGCCTTGGCTCACAGGAGACCAGAGACGGGCCTCAAGTCCAATCGGTGCCAATTGGCTTGATCTGAGCAGCGGCCCTACCTAATCAGGTACTGTACATAGTGCCTGGGTTGGTAGGTAAGTACCTTAACGCAACTAAACCCCCAACCACCAGTGCCATGAATCATGAAGTAGATGTGTGTGTGTGAGTGTGTGACCTCACCGTCCTAGCTTGCTTTTCGCCTTGGAAAATGCGGTGCGCTGTGGAAGGCCATGCGCGTCCAAAGATGAGACCGGACGAAGTAGTGGCCGTGACTGGCGGGAGCCCGAAACCTTAGGGGGGTCGTGTGTCCTGTAGGAACTTTGTCCGCTGGGGCGGCACTTTACTGGTAGGCAGCGTTCGCAGGTACGACAGAGCAGAGGAGGCTATGCTCGACGTGACGTCAAGCATTTTGTCTGGCTTTCTTGGCAGAGTGCCTTTTCTTTACGCCCAGATTGTTTTACGAGGTGGAGGGAACGAGACACACGTACGTCGACACACGCATGCCCATACACCATAAGCTGACACGAAGATGGTCGTCGAGCAGTCTGCTTGTCTTGTCCCCTATTGTCAATATGGGGACAGTCTGGCGTCGTGGGAAAGGCACAAGTCACGGAGGAGAACGCGAATCAATATTCCACATGCAGCATGTGGACCCGCTTTCACAGGCAGAATGGCAAAGTCAGCTCAGCACCGTGTCAGGCAGGTACCCTTGCTCGGGTACCCTACGGCGCCTTTTGGACAGGTACCTAGGTACATGGTACGCAAAGTAGGTGTTGTCTTGTCATGCTCCCCACCCTTCAGGTCGCCGTCAACGGACATGGGGGGAGGAGGGCCCTCTTGGCTGGGCTGGCAGCGCAGCCTGGCGGACCAGAGCTGGCTCGGCGGGTAGCGAGGCGCGTGCGCTAATACAGATGCGGAAAGAAGCCGGTGGAGCCGAATACCAGTGCACCAGCCACCCAATGGGCGAATCATGGAGCACAGAATTGTGGGAGCCTGGCAAGCCTGGCTTGCCTGGCATGGCTTCTGGGTTGGCAGTTCGCAGGAGACTGGGAAAAAGAGCTCAGAGGCCTGGCCCAGGCCAAGGCTCGCCAAGGATGTACGGCTAGGATGGCTGGGGCTTGAGAGCAGAGACCTGCCTGGGGTGTCCTCCGCTCCTCATCCGGACCGTCAAGCAGTTTGGCAGCAGCGAACGGAATGCAGTCGACACACCCGTCATTTGGAAGTGTGTGCTGCTGACTCGTCTCGGTCCCCCCCCTTTCTTCCCCCCCCCCAGCGTCCTCCCATTTCCGGTCTCTTTCCCACTGGGAGAGATTTTCTGTTTGCTCGTCCTGGATGGCCTTTCCCATGCTCAGCGCTGGTGGTCTCTGGTCTCCAGCCC